TCCCTACAAGGCCCACTTTAAGAGTCAAACTACCCTATAATTTCTATCAACCATCAGGTAGAGCATTACAAATATCCAAAACATATTGCTTCAAATAAACCAACCATTACTTCTAACTTTCACTAATCAGTTAAGACAATAAAGATAGTCAATATTTGTAACTACAGATTATATTCTTAATCAGTCATTTATCAAGTATCAGTAAAGGTTCAGAGAAAAGAAGGCAGAAAGAAATAATGTATGAACAAATGTGCATTATTGTTGTTTTTCTTTTGCAGTTTGAGAGTTCACTTTAGGTAAATCTTCTCATTAGTCAGTTTCACCATGCAAACAATCAAAATATATTGCTACAAATTAGTTATTCAGTTTATATTTCTTCTGTTTTCCCTGCAAATGTCTCCCCAAAATTGTTAATCTCCTGTGCCTTTGATCTTTGAAGGTCTCAATCTTACTTATGTAGCAACTCTTGGAAGTCTGTTCATTTTCTGAAGACGCTTTGAAATTCTCCCCCTCCCCTTCCAAACTGCTTGTATGCAAAATCAAACAACCCACAGCCTGTAAAAAAACGCGTGTCCACTCTCTTTGAGATCTGCTTCACAGCAAGACCTATTTTAACACAGTAGTGTGAATTTTCTTTGGCCTGCTTTTTCATGCTCCAGTCTCTCTTTGACCAGGAGCTGGAACACTGTTCTCCTGTTGGTTATGTTAAACAGCCTCTTCTTGTTCACTTATGAGAGATGTGATATGCTGTCCTTACTTTTCCTCCCACTAGATCCTTGTTGTTGGATGTGGCAACTCAGAAATGAGTGAGCAGCTCTACGATGTTGGGTACCAAAGTATCGTCAACGTGGACATTAGTGAAATGGTCGTCAAGCAGATGGGAGAACGCAGTGCTCACCTGCGGCCCAAGATGAGCTACCTGGTCATGGACGTGCTGCAGATGGATTTCCCTGACGGGTGCTTTCAGGTGGTCCTAGACAAAGGCACTCTCGATGCCCTCCTGACTGATGGAGAAGAGGCTACTTTGGCCAGGGCAGAGAGGATGTTTGCTGAAATTGGCCGTGTCCTCCAGTTCGGAGGGCGTTACCTGTGTGTCTCCTTAGCCCAAGCACACGTCTTGAAGGCGGCCATGGAATATTTCTCCAAGGAAGGCTGGATGGTTCGAATACACCAAACCTCTGGGAAGGAAGCTACCACTTCCGAAAGCGAATTTGCCCTGCCGGTGTTTGTCTATGTTATGACGAAGATGAAGCCAGTGCCCGGCTCAGCTTCTCGAATTCTGGAACTGTGTGTAGAGAAACACGACAAGCCCGTCCGTTTTTCATCTTTGGAACATCTGATTGAGGCGGTTAAAGAGAGGCAGCAGTACGCCCTCCTACGCAGCCAGCTCACTAAGAATCCTGGCACGGGGGATGTCTCCCTGGATCTCTGCAGCAAGGACGGTGGCCAAGCCCGCTACACCTTGCATGTGGTGCACTGCCCGGCTGTGAAGGTGTCACGGGACAATCGCTTTGCCATCTTCATCAGTGAGTTTATTTCCTCCATGTTGGCTGCTAGCTTGGCATTCCAGGCTGGGTTGCCAGTAATTTCTCAGCTTGGGGGATTTCTGCCTTTTCCAAGTCCCTCGCAGTGTTGTATATTGAAACAGAGTGCCATGTAAGGTAGTAATAGCAAATGATAGGAAGGGTCAGAATGTACCTTCACACCATTAGTTTTCCGTAAGGGTGCTGGAAAATTTGCAAGTACTGGCCTGCAAGTGGTTTATTTCTTCCTAGACTATGACATCTTTCTTCTAGAAGAGAGCAACCAACCTGGAGTAGTTCTTTTTACCATGTTCAAAAGAAGGGAGGATTTTGACAACGAATGGATGGATGCTCATAAAGCTGCCTTATACAGAATCAAACTCATGGTTTACCAAGTTTCCATTTGTCTACACTGACTCTCCAGGGTCTGACTGTGAAAGCCAGTGTGCCGTCAGTGGCTCTAGTCTCGTAATAAGGTTTGGTTGAATCCCCATTCTGCCATGAAAGCTTACTGGTGAGTTTGGGCCAGTCATACCTTCTCAGCCTAAACTACCTTGCAGGGCTGTTGTGATGATAAAACACAGGAGAGGAGAATAGTGTAAGTCATGGGTCCCCTTTGGAGAGAAAAGGCGGGATTATAATTGAAGTAAATAATAAAGAAACTGCCTTGACCTGGATAGCCCAGGCAAGTCCTGTCTTGTCAGAGCTCAGAAGCTAAGCAGGGCCAACCCTGGCAAATACTTAGATGGGAGACCTCCAAGGAATGTCAGGGCTGGGACGCAGAGACACACATTAGCAAGCCACCTCTCTGAAACGTCCAAGCCCCACTAAGGGTCGTCAGAAGTCAACCATGACTTCCAGGTATGCATGCGCACATACACAAACGCACACACAAAATACTCACCAAAAATAAACTCTACTTTTCAATTGGAGGTGCTAGGAATTGATCCTGGGTCTTTTCACATGCAGAGCAGATGCTCTATCACTGAGCCACAGTATCTCCCCAAATGAAAACTTTGAGCTGTGTGACTTTCCTTCCAAACTTCATTTTAACCTGTTTCATGTTCTCGGAAATGCTGAGCGAAGAGGAGCTATCCAAGTATTGTGATTTGCTGTTACAAATGAATTAAGATGAGCTGTTCTGACTGAGATCTGTAGCTGAGAAGTGATAGCCAGTGGCTCATTCCTTCAAAGCCAGTGAAGGGTGATTGAGTCGACTGCCTTGCTGAGACGCGTTCCTGCAGTGTCTGTGATATTGCAATGCCCCTGTATAGATCTATGGTGCGGCCTCATTTGGAATCCTGTGTACAGATATCTCAAAATGGACATTGCAGAGCTGGAGAAAGTACAGAGGAGGGCAGCCAAGATGATTGGGGTGTGTGTGTGGAGCACCTTTCCTGTGAGGAAAGGCTGAAGAGCCTGGGAGTTTTCAGTTTAGAAAAGACATGAATAAGGGGGTGAAGAGAGTTGACAAAGAGATTTTTTTCTCCCTCAAAATACTAGAA